TACAGTTATCTATCTACCATTAATTTTCAAGACTCCAAAATCATACAATATTTTGTAAACATGACATGACTGGCTATAATATCGCTGCCTCAGTGTAACAATGGAGTCACACTTTATGTACCTGAAACTAGAAGGTTACCAATATCTGAGCAAGCTAGTTTAAAGCTTGTTCAGCTGTGTCTGCAGTACAACTTTTGCTGCATCATAAATACCTTCCGGTTCATTTACAGAATAAAAAAATATCTGGAAATTACAAATTCGTAACTTGCAAGCTTAAAAATCACCTGTGTGTGTTACACTGGTTGAGGTTTTTGGAATCTGCTCTGAATAGCTTGAAGATGTTCACCTTCCTCATGGTATAGCTTTCCCTCTGACATTTCCTGCACAATTTCTTGCACATGTATTGTCATCCGATATGTTTGCTTTATTCATCTATTTGGCAACATCTGAGCCTCCCTACCAGTCTCTTCTAGTAAGGAGTGCCTCTTCCCTGACCCTTCCCCAGTCATCAGTGGGTTTGTTTTGTACTAAAAAGTAGATGATCCAGTCTAATGTTATTTGCAAGGAAGCTTTCCAGAATTTGTAGTCATCAATATTCTGTCAAAAAAATAAGCCTACTGAAGTATATGTTTTGTGAGTTTATGAAACCAACCACTTCCAAATTTTTATGGTTACTAATGTCGAATGATATGAGGGGGGCAGGGTGAGGAAGGAGGGGTATGGTGTGTAAAACGTATGCCAACACACAGAGAGATATATATATATATGTATACTTTTTTTAGTGATGCCATAACCTCAGATGATCTAGTGGCTTTAGTGGTGTCTGGGTGGTATTCTGTATACAAGATAGCAGATCTGGGGTTTATTCCAGTTATTAAATCCTCATTTTCCACATGAAAAAAAATATTTTCAGCTCCAGGCAAAGTTCAGATTTGATCTCTGACTTTTAAGCTCTCAATGCCAGGCTTTTAGACCAAGAAGTTTTACTATGGGCTTCAGCTTGTGGGATTGAGATACTTACCTTAAGTAAACCATCTATTTGAGGTGCTTCACTAGTTTCTGACATTTTCTTGCCTTCGTTTATGGTAACTCTGTAACTGCCAAGGGTTTTACTTTAAGCAAAACCAAAAGCTAACTTGGAGAATTACTGTTTGTTCATTTATCTTCCGAAGAACACTTCAGACATTTCAGTAACTCCTCCATTAGACCAAAATCCTTAC